TCTCTGCCCCCTGGCTCTCTGTCTCTCTCCCCCCCTCTCCCTCTGCCCCCTTGCGCGCTCTGGAAGAGAGGAGGATGATGACGAGGAGGAAGATGAGGAGGGAGAGCGAGAGAAATTGAGGGAACGTGTGATCGATATGAAGAGAGAGAAACATAAAAATGGGAGAGGAACTGTCTGAGAGAGAGGGAGAACGAGAGAACAATATAGAAACACATCCGAGAGAGAAAGAGAGAGAGAATGGCAGACAGGGAGACTTGAGGAAACACAGACCATCCTCCTCCTCACACTGCTCCGCCCTCCCCCCCCCTCCTACCACATCCACCTCCTCCTTCTCCTCCTGCTCCTCCTCGTCCTCCTCCTCCTCCTACTCCTCCTCCTACCCCATCCTCCTCCTCCTCCTCCTCCTCCTCCTCCAGCCCTCCTCCTCCTCCTCTTCCTGTATACTCCTTCTCCTCCTCCGCCTCCTCCTCCTGCCCGTCTTCCTCCTCCTCTTCCTGCTCCTCCTCCTCCTGATGCTCCTCCTCCTTTCCGTCCTTCGCCTCCTCTTCCTCCGCCTCCACCTTCTCCTCTTCCCTCCCTCCCTCCTTCCCTCCTTCCCTCCCTCCAACGAAAATCCCACCCAGGAACCAGCCCAGGAGCTCTGACTCCCAGATTCCCGAAAATCCAAATCAAACCACATGGCTTGCGACGTCAGGAGTGCGGAAACCTGATGTGCTCTTTTGGATGCTGGGGAGTTTCTGGGATGAGAAGTGAGGAAGCCCAGGACATTCACTTGGATGTTTTGGATTCGGGGTACACCTTTTGCTCTGAACCTTCGGGTGCTCCTGGGCGGGATTTTCGGTGGAGGGAGAAAATCGAGTAAAAACCATCCCCAAACAAACATATGAACACCCAGGGTAACCCTCACTTACAATCCCAGCAATTCCAAGCATCCCAATGAAAGCACAAGGTTGCGGTACCCCTAATGTCGCGAGCCCGCGTCTTCACATGGATGATAGGGATCCTGGGAGTCGGAGCTCCGTAGGTCCTGAGAACCAACTGTTGCAAAGAGGGAGAAGGAGAGGAAGAGAGAGAGAGAGAAACAACAAACAAACAGCAAAACGAACGAGAGAGGGAGAGAGAAACCGATTGGAAAGGGGAAGTAAGAGGGAGAGGAAAAGAATAAGAGGAAAGAAAGGAGCATGAGAAGAGAAACGCCGTTGCAATCCATGTAGGCAAGAATGGGTGCTGGGGGTGCCGGCCTGGACCCCTAGCTCTCAAATCTCCCAGGGCTTCCAGCGTGCCTCCTGGGTTCCCACACGCCTCCTCTGAGCGTGACTTCTTCGGGGCCAGAAAGGGCTCCAAGACTGGCCAAGAGGGCCTCAGGAGGCCTCGAAGACGGTCCAAGGGGGCTCCGAGTCGCGGAACGATCGCTCCAAGCCGCTCCAGATGTCCTCCGGCCGGCCCAGGACGCCTCGGAGACACCCCAGGCTGCGAAACACGCGTTCCTTTCCCCGAGGCGCTCGAAGGATCTCGGCCTTCTCGCCCGTTCCGCCCCCCGACGCGCTTCAAGGCGGCCCACGGAGGCCCCGCCCGCCCGTCCCGCAGGAGGCACGAGGCAGGGATCGCCCTGCACGTACTGTTCGCTCGTTTTCGTTATGTTTTCGTGCTCCCTCGTTTCGTCTGCAATCCGCCGTTGCTGCAAAACGACATCGAACCAGCACCACGAACGAAACCACCACCTAAACACCGCCTGCGGGTGGGCCTCTGAGCTCCCCCTGCCCGGCGGCGGACGCGGACAAGTCCGCGGACGGGGATGGGTGGGACATGGCGCGAGCACGCCCAGCACCTCCCTCTCCTCACTCCCCACGGCCACCGTTTGCCCCACCGCCGCCCAACTCGCCCTCCTCCTCCTCCTCCTCCTCCTCCTCCTCCTCCTCCTCCATCTCCTCCTTCTCCTCCTCCTGATTATTATTCCTCCTTCCCTGCAACTCCCATCCTCCTCAGACCCTCCGTGCTTTCCCCCTCCTCTGCCCGCCTGCGTGTCTGCTCAGCCATCCGCCCCCCGCATCCAGGAGCGACATGGCGGCGGCAAGGAGGAGGAGGACGGGGGCTGGTGTTCAGTCGGGCCTGTCCCTCTACAGGACGAATATTCAAAAATGATCAAGAAATGATCAGGGGACGACTCTTTGACTTGTTTGATAACCATTTTCGAATATTGTTTGAGTATTTTTTTATGTTTCGCCCCAAATCCCCCTGTGGGGGGCCAGGCTCGACCTGAGGCTGGTGAGGCGCAGCTGCACGTGGAGAGGAGATCGGTGTGGCATTGACGTGGAAGCTCCCCCCCTCCGCCCCTGCACCCTCTCCCTGCTGAAAGGGCCCTGGGACACACAAACGAATACACACAAAAATCACAGGATCCCCCATAGTTTCCGATATGTTATGGGTCTTCGATTGTCACATAGTTTCCGATATATAGTTTCCCCCCCACTCCCCATTGTTTGCCACATTTCCTGGGGGATCGACGATTACCTGTGCCCGTGTGACTTTGTTCCCTCCCGACCTGCGCGCCCCGCACCCCGAAGGGTGGGCTCTCCAGCACACAGCTGGCCACGGCTCAGTGATACGCTTCCTGCGGGGACGCCAGCGAAAGGGACTTCTGACACCGCGGCGTTGCATCTCTTGGCGGCGCGCAGAGGGGGGTAGTGGGAGGGGGGAAGGCTTCTTAGAAACACCCCTGCTTCTTAGAAGGTGCGGGCCTTCTCTGTAGATGTAAGGCCGGCGCCTTCTAAGAAACAGCCCCCTCCTCAGAAGCCTTCCCCCCTCCCCCTACCCCCTTCTGCTCGCCGCCAAATCTCAGACTGACGTCGAGAAGTGCGAGTGACAGCGTCACGCGGCGACCCTGTAGAGCCGCGCGCAGGCAACAAGACCGCCGACGCATCACAGGGCTCTGGCCACCAGCTGCCAGCGGCACCCTCCCTCGGGCTCCCCAGTCCAGCCACCCTGCTCGCAGCTACCTGCCAAGGGCGAACGAGAACGCTGCCCAGCGAGACTAGAGGGCCCAAGCCAGCCCAGGCTAGCGCACACGTTGCATGACGCTGCCCTTGTGCACTGCTACTTCTTGGGCTGTCGGCAAGAGGCTACGGACCTGGCGAGAACCTCGGCATTGCTGCAGTCAGCAAGCGAGACTTGCCCCCCCGCTGCCTCCACTTGGGAGCTTGATGGCCGCAGCGTCCTCGAAAGGTGGTGACTCAACTGCGCAACTACAGTTGTACTTAGTTGGGGCCAGCGCGGCAATGGCACAATTTCTATGGTGTAGACACGCTGACACAAGTGGTCCTGCATCCTGTGGCTAGCATAAGTACGTCGGTGCGCTGCTGTGCGCTTCAGTAAGACGCTACCTGCTACTGGTCCACGCTCGCTTCCTTGTCGGATTAGAGAAGGTGAGAAAAGCAGAGGGAGGGCGCCGATCGGACTACCACTGTACACGGGTGCACAACTGAGAGAGGGGGTCCAACAATCACGCGACGTCTGCACGATACCGACTGAAGCAGCGCCGCCGGCTGGAGGCGCACGCCCCCATCGCAACACACGCACGACGACAAATTGCGGGCCGTCATGTCGTCATCTCTCACCACGCGACCCAACCGCGAACCCTTGGCAACACACGCCGCGATCTAATCGCGACATACGGGCGACACACACACACACACACACACACACACACACACACACACACACACACACACGCGCGCGCGCGACCCACACTCACGACCCACACCCGCGACCCACAGACATTGCTGTTCACCCAGTTGCTGCCAGCAGCAGTCTAGTCGGCAAAACAAGTCCCTGTGCCCGAGGGGGGAGGCAGGCTCCTTTAACTCAGATCTCGCGACCCTCCGTCGACCTGACAACGCCACGCTCTTTTGTAATGAGATTGACGCCAGTGAAGCGGCCGATCGTTTCGAAAGAGACGGCGCCCATGGCCGGCTCCTCCGCATTGGCGCTCCTAGCAAGGCAGCCCTGGCCAGGCAACCCTAGCAAAGCAGCCTTGGCGCCCCATCACTCGTAATCCGCAATTGCGGCTCTTAGGCAATATTGGACCCGTGCCCTGCCTGCTGCTCCTCCTCCTCCTCCTCCTCCTCCTCCTCCCTCGCTCCTTCTACTCCTCCTTCTCCTCCTCCTCCTCCTCCGTCACTCCCCCCTCTCTCCCCGCGAGCACGCATCCTCACGGCAGGCACCCGGGGGATGTACGGCGGGACGTCACTCGGACAGCTTTCAGGGGGTAAAACTGATTCAGCCTGCTTCTGTCCACCACCCCTTCCAATCTGACGCCCATGTTGATATTTTGAGGGGGGTCGTGAGGGCGGGACCAGCTCAGGGGGGGAAACATCGAGCCTGCATCGGCGATACATCGCCGATTGATCGACGAAATGCCCCCCGAAAGCAAGCCCACACGTTCCAAGCGGGGTGGACTATTGGGCTTCCATCGGCGATCAATGGGCGATTGGGGGTCGATGCATCTCCCCATGAGCCTCTCCCCCCGAAAACCCTGACCATGATAGGGGAGACGTGAGACTCGGGATCGGGGGACGCGGTTTGGCCTGACGGGGGCCATCATGAAAATGACTGGACCCAATCTGGAATTTGGCGCGAGCTCCTGCTGGAAACATCCCACAACAATTGGACCGTCAGAATCCAGGACGCGCTCGTGAAGAAACGTCAAAAACCAGAGTACCAGCGTATCCGAGTCTTACGTTCCAAAACATCCGGCTGATGCAATTGGTTAAGCAGGTTTGTCGTCCGGGATCCTATTTGGACGGTCCAGAGGCCCGGCGAGGGCCCCCAGATGCCGAAAACAGCCCAAAACCGTCCGCTCCACTTCTTGTTGGAGCGTCGGATCTCTGCGTTCCCCCGACATGACCATACCATCCTCCCCCCCAATCTGGCGCCGATCTTTTCTGGCCGCGGACGCGCCTGTGCCACACCGTAGACCGCACAGGGGCTGGTCGGCGGAGGCCTCAGGCGCCCCGCAGCCGCGGGGAGGGGGCGCCGTGCTGGGCCTGCTGGGCGAAGGAGAAGTCGGCGCCCGACAGGATGGCCTGGGCTGTCGGGGGAGAGGATTCGGTGGCAACTCGTGGGAGCCTCCCATACCACCTTGTCGACTCTTGCGCATCGACGCTGGCCGACGCTAATCGACCGTAGATAGACGCTGGATCGACGCTGAATCGGAGCCGTATCGGCACATCTCATCGACTCCCAGACGCTAGTCGACGCGGAAGACGGAATCAAGAGGGCATGCCTGGCTCCCCTGATGATCTCCTACCGAACAAGGACGTGGCCTTTGTGGGCCCCGGAAACGGCAGGGCCGGTTTTTCACCGTTTCAAAAAAAATGTCCCTGGAAAATGGAAACGGCAAAAAACATCGACTGGAGACGGCAAAAAAACGGCTCCAGGACTGGAACCGGAGCCGGAACCGGTCAAAAGACGGCAACGGAACCGGTAACAAAAAACGGCGTCGGGACCGGCAACGAAAACGGCAGAACGGAACCGGTCACAAAAACGGCCCTGTCGTTTCCAGGGCCCACTGAGGCCGGGCTCCCCTGAGGATCTGCTGCCGAGCAAGGACGTGGCGGAAGCAGGGCACGGCTTCCGGGACAACGGCGTCCATTCTGTCCGAGCTCGGCCTGGAGCTCGCGGCCCGGCGCTCCAGGCCGATCCCCGCCGAGCCGCGGAGCCCCACCGCGGCGGCCCGCCGCGGAAGGCGTCCCGACGGCCCGCCCCTCCCCTCGCCATCGCTCGGACGCCATGCTTTTTGCGGCTTCGTGCGCGGTTTTCCCGCCAGATGATCAAGGATGCTCCTCGATGGTCCTCGCCGAGAAAAAAGTACACCCTGCGAAATGCTTAAGAAATCATGGGTTAAGAAATTCTTAGTCTCAGAACTGGAATAACAACCCAACATGTCTATTAAAATCTTAGGGTTTTCATTGAAACATTAAGAATAATCGAGACTCTGGCCGAAAACGTGGGTTTTCTTAAGCATCGCCTAAGGTGTACACACGTCCGAGCGATGCCAGGTCTCTGGGCCGCGTGGGGCAGCCGAGACGGCCCAGGAGGAGGCGGCGAGAGCGCGGGGCACCGCAGGCTCGGCGGTGCGAGGCAGCCGCTCGTGCGCGCGGCAGACGCCGACGGCATGGCCGATCGGAGAGCCTCGATCTCGACAAGCGATGGCGAGAGACATGCCACCAGAGCGACTCGCAGACGCAGGTCGGGCGCGTGCTCCTGCAGGCGGGCTTTGGGCGACAAAAACAAAACTAGTCCACACATGTTTTAAAACAATGCCCAACAATGGTACCGAAATCGTCCCCGCACGTTTTTGTTAATTGTCTTTTTGCTATGTGTTGAGCGTTCCTCCTGTGGAGGGACAGGCCCGACTTCATCGTCGACGTGAGCGCAAGCCCAGCGCCCCCAGCCCACCTTCGCATGCTGCCAGGGGCCCACAGTCGGGAGCGGCCAAGAGGGGGGTGTCCAAGAGGGGTGGGTGCAAATCATGACCGGCGGCATGTGCGCGGCCCAGCGGGGGGGCCAGGGACGTAACGAAATACGAAGAGGCGCCATGAGATCTGGGGAAACATCATGCCCCCCGCCATGATATCCCCCCCCCCTAGGCATCACCCCCCTCTTCTCCGCCCCCGACGCAGCTCTCGACCCCACAGCCCTCGTGTGGGCATCCGGGCCTCCTCGGCGGGGGGCAGCGCCTGCGGGGGAGCAGCCGCGCACCTCTCGCGCCCCCCCTTTTGGGCCCGAGGGGGGCACTCCGGGGACCCTTCGTGGCGCAGAAGGTGTACACCCTGCGAAAGGCTTAAGAAATCATGGGTTAAGAAATTCATGGTCTCAGAACTTGAATTAAAACCCAACATGTCTATTACAATCTTAGGATTTACATTGAAACATTAAGAATAATCGAGACTCTGGCCGAAAGCTTAAGTTTTCTTAAGCATCGCCTAAGGTGTAGCTTTCCTCACCTCCCCATGCCATGAGACGAATCGCACCCCCATGAATTGCGCCTGCTTCTTTACCGCCCCCCCCAGTAATTACGCCACGCCCGAGGGCTGATATTGAAGGGCTGCCGAGCCGCGAAATCTCTCCCTCTGATCGCAACTCGTATCATGTTGTTCACATCTTACTTAAGGACCAAGTCCCCAAATTAATTTCGAGCACCCAGAGAAGTGTCGAAACATTGTTGAACGAGTGTCGCCTCCCAGGGCCCGACACGTGAAAACCCTCCAGTTTCGGTTCTGTCTTGGTGCTCGAAATTCTTTCTGGTGATCAAGGCTAAGTAGGTTGAAACATCACGGAACTCGTCGAGAGCGGCCCCCGCTGTGCGTCGAAGGGCCACCGCGGCCCGTCCAGGACCAAAACGTGGGACTCCCGAGGCCCGCGCAAGCGCCCACGGACGCCCAGAGCACTTGTGCGACTACATCGGCGCCCACAAGAACGGAAGGACGACTGAAGATGGATGGGCGAGGAACGACGAGCATGGGGAATCGGAGGATTGACTACCTACCAGACCACCCCAACCCAACCCGAAGACCCGACTGTAACCCGAATTTCGGGTTGGGGGGGGGTACGGGTTCCATGTGTTTTTTCAATGTTCCCCGACCCCTCCCCCACTGGAAATAGAGGGAACATTGAGGCCTTCGGGTTGGGTTGGGGTCGTTTGGTGGGTGGTGAAGGATGGGGCAAGTCAGCGCGCCTTGGCCGCCTTCAGGTTGTCCGTCTCTTCCGCGCGGGCCGCTCTTCGCATGTCGAAGAACTGCATGATCCAGTCGCACTCCTGCGTTCCAGAAGGAGCCCCTCCGTCCCGCGCTGGATCCGCTGGCCCCTCCTCCTCCTCGCCGTCCTCCTCCTCGTCCTCCTCCTCCTCCTCCTACTCCTTCTCCTCCTGCTCCTCCTCCACTTCATCCTCCACCTCGGTCCCCTCCTCCTCCTCCTCCTCCTCCTCCTCCTCTTCCCCTCCTCCTCCTCCTCCTCCTCCTCCTCCTCCTCCTCCTCCTCCTCGGTCCCCGCACCTTTGGATTGTTCGCGAGTGGTCGTTGTTGCGTCCTTGGTTGCTTGACTCGAAGACTAGGTGGGCCCGAGTCAGAGGCCCTGCCGGAGCTGCGGTCTCAGTCCTGAATGATGCTGGTTGGTCACCTAAACGGGCTCACTCTTGAACCAGGCCTACCCCAGCAAGTGATGTCACGTGGCAGTTGCCCAGAGCTGAGGACCGTGGCTTCGAAGCTCAGGATGCGGACTTCGCTGAACTCATCGACGAAGCAAGAGGACATCGCCAGCAACTTATGGCACCAGGCTTCTGAGCATATCGAAGGGGGCGGTTTGGAACTCGGGGGGACTTGTATGGAGCTCGCCTGGAACGCCGTGGGTTCAAGACGTATCAAGGATTCGAGAAACCAGGTCGTCTGAATGCTGTTGTGCCTGGGATCAACGGCCACCCGTCAGGATGGCTGATCGTGGCTTCGTCGTTTCTCCAGGTGTGGCAAGGAGAAGGAGACGCTCTACCACCGCTCCTGGAATCGCTGAAAGCACAACGGGCATTAAACCGACAAGTCGCATTGCTTGCTTTCGCAAGCTGCAGCTCAAGCTGATCAGTGCCCTGTCCTCCGGTTGCGAGGCATACCCCCCCGTCAGTTGGACCCACCCTCCAGACGTCCCGTTGAGGATGCCGTGGGAAATCTGGCCCCGTGGCGTTCAGAACCCCCGAACCCCATCCCAAGCATAGCCGTCAAGGGCTGCTGTTTGGGGACGGCTATGGGGGCTCGCTTGGTCCTGACATGCGCACAGTCAGACCTGAGCCAGAGCAACATCCTTCAAGGACATGAGGCTCCCCGCCAGCCAAAGCACCCCAAACCCTAAGATCATTCGAGGGTACCCCCCCCAAGGATGCACACGGATATCCAACAAACACGAGGAACATTAGGGTGACATCCCCGAACCGACCTCGATCTTACATCTCGGTCCGACTGCAGGCGACGGTGCGGCTTCGCCGCCGTCGCGCCCGAGGAGAACGGCCAGGGGGAGTGGGCTCTGGCTGCGGGGTATGGCACAATCCCCGGCGGCAGGCGACAGGCCTTGCCGAGAGCCGAACTCAGTGCTCTCGCGATAGCAATAGGGTCTGCAGGGTCTGCACAAGCACCTCCTTTTCTTTTCTTTGCTATTGACCATCAGCCGTTGCTTGCTTCGTGGCTGTCGGGTCGTGATTCGCTCCAAGGTCGGCTCTACTCCGTCCCCCCGGAGTGGCACCCGAGCTGCCCCAGGAGAGGGGTCGCCCGACACTGTTCCTATCGAGTGGATTCCGTCTCGCGCTGAGGCCGAGTCAAAAAACGACTCAGCCCTCTCACGCTGATCAGGTCGGGCGAAAGGGGGGGATAGCAAAGGGGGGGGTTGAGAATCAGCTCACGTAGCTGATTTTCCCAACGCCTCCAGGCGCCGGAGGCGGCTATGTATCGAGGAATGGGCCCCTCGGTGAGGCCGAATCCAGCTGCATGCAGCAAATTTCGTACCCCCCCCTTCCCCATCCCCCCCTTTCGTCCGGCCCGAGCGCTGAGATCGAGCCCGAGAAACGACTCGGACCGATGCTCTGAACTCAGGGGAGCGGCCCGGCCGATGCAGGTGCGGGTCGGGCGGCGGGGGAGGCGTCGGAGGCGTGCCGCGTCGGGTCTGTGAGCGCTGCTCGATGGGATACGATGGGCTGGCTCGTCCGAGCGAGAGCTCGGACGAGGCGATGGAGCTCGCCGGGGACGCGGACCCCTGGAGCGGCCAGTGGCCGCCCAAGGAGAGGCGGCCAACCCCCGCAGCGCTCGCGCGCGCCCACTCGTCTTCTGGTCTCTCCTCTGTGCTGCCTGTCGGTGAGGATAGGTTTAGGTCGGGCATGTCCTCCTACAGGCGGGTTGTGAAGGATCTGCATAGCAAAAGTCAAAACATGTTGTCATCTAGTCAAACCATATTGCCATATTGTTGCTGGACAATGTTTGAAGATTCCTCTTGTAGAGGGGCATGCCCGACTTACATACAGGTGTGAGGTCTGTGCAATCGCTGTCACGGAGTCGCGTATCCCGGGGGCTCTGCCAAAACCTCCGCACGGGTCGGGAGGTCCCCGCTGGGGGTGCAACTTGGGGGGCTGCAGGCAAGTTCGCACATGCATCTCACAGCCCCTCAGGTCTGGGACAAGGTGTGTCTCACATGTGGTGTGAACTGCGGAAGGTATGGCACACTCAGTGGTAGATACTTCGAAGCAACGTGCGAGCCAATCACCCGTGAGGGCAGAGGGAATCCCGCACGCATTAATCAGGGCTTGTATCCGATCGGGCGTTGGCAGAACTGGGTTTAGTGGGACCTGGTTTAGTGATGTGAACTGGGGGACGCCCCCCCGCCCCGTTCCACTAACCGGAACTGCCGTCACCCGAAAAAACACGAGCTACGGAAGACCTGATTTGGTTATTCTGGCCACTTTGGGGGCTCCTGGGCCCTACCACTTACAGGGTCCCCTTACCTGGGGTCCTGGCTAGACCCGATCCGAGGCGGGAGGGTGTGCCAGCGCAGTTGCAAGCTGTGCTGGTACGCCGTGGCCTCGGCTAGCCCTCCTCTTCCAGCACACCACCCGCGCAGAGCCAAATAGTTCAAGTACTTTCTCCACCTCCCTTCATTCCCCTCCCTTCCCACAATTTTTGCTTGGTTTACCATCAGCGGCTCTGCCTCAGGAACCAGGATCTCTGGAGACGGAGGCGCGAGACACCACCTTCCCACAGCGAGAAAACTCCGTCCGAAACGTCGGAACCTGACCGCTCCTGACCAGTCGCAGGCTCCTCGTGCTCCACAAGGGCGAGAGCCGCTCGTCCTCGAACTTCCCTCGCGTCCTGCCGGACCTCCCGCACGCGTCCGGCCTCTGCCGGCACGCTCCAGGGCCGCGTGCTGGAGCGCGCTCGCACGCTCGCATGCCCCCGGGCCACGGGGGCGGTGGTGGCAACTGGCTGCCATCCACCGAGGTCGGCGGCGCGCCGAGGGGGGGGGAGCGAGAAGGGAGCGTTCCTTCTCCCTTGCGTTCGGTCGGGCATGTCCCCCTACCGGCGGATTCTGGTAGAAAAATTCTAAAAAAGTCCAACCGTACAACAAACTGGTCAAAGATACTAGAAGAATTGTCCCCAGAGCATTTGGGCTATTAAAAATTCCTCCTGTAGAGGGACAAACCCGACTTAACACCTGCGTGGCTTCTCAGGAGCCCTCTGTCTGGCCCAGGGAAGGAGGACAAGCCTGCTTCTCACTGTACCTGCCTTGCAGACGTGCCAATTTGTGCGTGGACTCCTGTCAATGCAGAAACCCGTGACGGTGAGTCAAAAGCGAAGTGAATTTCGCGTGGACGCGTGTTTAGTCTTCATTCCTGGGCAAATGAATCCGCACGAAATTCACATCGAAATCCATAACGAAATTATCCAGGACACGCTGGGCCCATCCTACCGTTTTCCGAACGAAATCCGCTCTGCGATGCTGGCGCCATGATCCTTCCCTGGGCCAGAGGGCCCCCCTGCGCCGAAAAGAGAAGCCTCTTTCAAGGAGCCTCCCGGTCCTCGTGTGGCTTCGGAGAAGGCTCAGTAAACCTCTCTCGGCAGTGGACAAACCTCCCTTCAGTAGACCTTCCCGTAGTGAAAACGGCCTGGGACCGAAACCGACGGGACTGGACCCGCAAAAATGACGGCCGCGACGCTCTCTCGCGAACCGAAGACGGCCAATTCCTGAATCGACATGTCAGGGTAGGAGGTCTGTCCACCACCGACCCTCAGAAGGCCATGACCCCCCCCTGAGCCTTCCGAGGGACATCGCCCCCTGGTGCTCTCCCCCCCCCCCTCTGCGCGCCACCCGAGACAGACAGCCACTCGGACGGCCCACCGTTCCTGGGATCGCTCGAACGCACGAGAAAAGGATCGCCAAGAACACCGTTTAGGTCGAGCCCTGGGCTCAGTAAACCTCTCAGAAGGCCATGACCCCCTCCCCCCACCGAGCCTTCCGAGGGACAACGCCCCCTTGCGCACTCCCCCCCCCCTTCGGCGCGCCACCCGAGGCAGACAGCCACTCGGACGGCCCACTTCTCCTGGGATCGCTGGAGCCCACGTGAAGAGCGTGCTCCTTCTCTTCCTCCTTTTCCTCCTCCTTTTCCTCCTCCTCCTCCTCCTCCTCCTCCCTCTCCTCCTCCTCCTCCTCCTCCTCCTCCTCCTCCTCCTCCTCCTCCTCCTCGTCCTCCTCCTCCTCCTCCTCCTCCTGCTCCCACTCCTCCTGATCTTCCTCGGCATCGCACCCTTGTCGCCTCAAGGATCGCGCGTGGCGCGTGCCCCCCGCGCGCCGTTGTCGCAGCGGCTGGCGGGGTGGAGGAGCAGGAGAAGATGCCGACGAGAAGCAGAGGGGAAGACAGGGAGGGCGACGACGACGACGCAGCTCGGGCGGAGGCGAAGAAAGGGGGAGCGAGCAGCGGTGCGGGTCTGTGACTGGCACCATGCTACAGGATGGAGACCGCGGGAGGATGGGCAGAGACGTGCCGATCCTCCTGCAAGAATGCAGACGGGCGCGTTCCACTACTCGCAGAGTGACTACTCGCGAATGGCCTGGATCCCCCGCGGAGGATCTACGTTACATTATTACATCACAACAAACATGTCTTTTTCGGACGCTTGCGAGTAGTGGAACGCGCTCGGTGAGAATAAGCGACCGCAAGCGGGCGCTAAGGCCGGCACGCGGTGAGCACCTCCCGAGGGCACAGTGCCGGCCGCACCGAGGGGGGGGAGGACGGGGCGACGGCGGGAGGAGCAGGACCCAGGGGCACCGAGGGAGTAGTTGCAGGCGAGGAGGTCGAGGAGGAGGAGGAGGAGGAGAAAGAGGAGGAGGAGGAGGAGGGGGGGGGAGGAGGAGGGGGAGGAGGAGGAGGAGGAGGAGGAGGAGGAGGAGGAGGAGGAGGAAAGGGGGAGGAAATGGAGGAGGAGGAGGAGGAAAAGGACATGGAGAAGGAGGAAGAGAAAAAGGAGGAGGAGGAGGAGGAGGATGGGGAGGAGGGGGAGGACGGAGGAGGGAGAAGAGGACCATGCACGGGCCACTTCCCGCGATGGCGCGGCGTGCGGCGCGGCAGCGCAGCGCCCCCCCCCCCCCCCCCCATCCGACACCCTCCGGGCTCCGCGTGCAGGTTCGACTCGTACGCCTGGCGGCGCCCACGCCAAAAAGGCAGGCGTCTTCCCCCGTGCGCCTCAGGCTTCCTCCTCCGCATCCTCGTCCTCGTCCTCGTCCTCCTCGTCCTCGTCCTCGTCCTCCACCTCCTCGTCCTCATCATCATCATCAGCATCATCATCATCATCACCATCATCACCATCATCATCATCATCATCATCATCATCATCATCATCCTCGTCCTCGTCCTCCTCGTCCTCCTCCTCGTTGTCCTCCTCGTCCTTCTCCTCCTGGTCCTCCACGTTATCCCTGGCGCACTTTGCCTCTTCCTCCTCCTCGGTTGCTGCTGGGACTGCCCCTGGCCCTCGGTGCCCCCAGGATTTCCAAGGAGGCCCCCACGGCTTGCAGAGCACCCCCTCACGAGGCCCAGAGGGCCCCAGGGGCTTTAACGTTAAACGAAAACTGGAGGCACTTTGGACTAGGGGCACATGTTTAGCAACGCCCGGCATCCTCCTCGTTTGCTCATCCTGGTTTTCATCATCGCAGCCGTCATCGTCATCACCACCATCACCGCCATCATCATGATGATCATGATTATCATCACCGCCGCCATCATCACCATCATCAGCATCATCGTCCTCATCATCATCACCATTGTCATCATCATTTTCAACGTCATTTTCATCACGATTACTTCCACCACAATTCTCAGCTTGGTTCTAACAAAAAAACGCACGCTTTTTGTTTAACAAGGTTGCCCCATGGGCCCCTGATCTTAGTGGGCCCCGGACACTGCAGGGCCCTTGAAAATGGAATAAGGCCCCCCCAAAAAAAAAACGACCGGAAACGGCAACAAAAAACGGCCCCAAGAGTGAAACGGGAGCGGGAATCCGCAAAAGAACGGCGACGGAACCAATAGAAAACGGCGTCGGAACCGGCAACAGAAACGGCAAAACAAACGGCCCTGTCGTTCCCAGGGCCACTCAGCCCCTGACAAGCTTAACGCGGGAAAGACACGCGACGCTGATTTAGCGTCAGTCCTTCTTCTAGCGTTTTTTTGTGCCCGTCTACGCGGGTAATTCATCGGAAAATATGTAATGCCCTCTCTCATGTCATCGCTCCAGTTTTTTCGTTTCTCCCGCTGTCCCCCATCTCAGAGCTCAAAACGCAAAGAGATCAACAGCAAAACAAAACGCCCTGAATACACCGGCCCGAAACAGGGTCACCGCAGATAGTACGGAGTAGGACGACGCCATCCTCCGGCGGCCCTGCCAGGAAGAAGTCGATGCGGCGCCCGCATGAGCAGGAAGTCCTCGTGGCGCGTGGCGCGCGTAGAGCTCCAGCCACCAATCGTCGTCCTCCTTCTTGCCGTTCCCCACCTCGTGGCGGCTGCATTCCAGGATCACGCCTGGGCGATGTCGGCCGAGGGAGCTGCGCGCCGGACAGCCGACGGCTCAGGGCGAGAGTCCACGGGACCGACAGAAGGTCTGGCTGCGGACCGCTCAGGCCCAGAAGCTTTGGCCGTTGACTGCCCGGGGGGCGCCGTTCCCTCGCCCCGTCGCCTTCGCGCATGTGCGCCCTGGGCACGCAGCCGTGGTGGACGCCGAAAGGGGTGTGCCAAAATGGGGCGGCGGCGCCATGCGAACTGCGCCGCTGCGACCTTAGGTGGAGCTCCCTATGGGGCCACGAAACGTGTGAGTTTTGTGCCAAAATGGGGCGCCATGCGAACTGCGTCATTGGGACCTCAGGTGGAGCTCCCTATGGGGCCACGAAGCGTGGGAAGGGTGTCCCAGAAGGGGGCGGCGGCGCCATGCGAACTACGCCATTGGGATCTTGAGTGGGGCTCCGTCTGGGGCCACGAAACGTGTGAGGGGTGTGCCAAAATGGGGCGGCGGCGCCATGCGAACTGCGCAGCTGCGACCTTAGGTGGAGCTCCTCACGGGGCCACGAAACGTGTGAGCGGTGTGCCAAAATGGGGCGGTGGCGCCATGCGAACTGCGCCACTGGGAATTTAGGTGGAGCTCCTCACGGGGCCACGAGACGTGGGAGAGGTGTACCAAAAGGGGGCGGCGGCGCCATGCGAATTACGCCATTGGGATCTTGAGTAGGGCTCCGTCTGGGGCCACGAACGTGTGAGGGGTGTGCCAAGATGCGGCGGCGGCGCCATGCGAACTGCGCCACTGACTTTAGGTGGAGCTCCTCACGGGGCCACGAAACGTGTGACGGCTGTGCCAAAATGGGGCGGCGGCGCCATGCGAACTGCGCCACTGGGGATTTAGGTGGAGCTCCCTATGGGGCCACGAAACAAGTGAGAGGTGTGCCAAAATGGGGCGGCGGCGCCATGCGAACTGCGCCACTGGGACTTCAGGTGGAGCTCCTCACGGGGCCACGAAACGTGTGAGCGGTGTGCAAAAATGGGGCGGCGGCGCCATGCGAACTGCGCCACTGCGGCCTGAGGTGGAGCTCTTTATGGGGTCACGAAACGTGGGAGGGGTGTGCTAAAATGAGGCGGCAGCGCCATGCGAACTGCGCCACTGCGACCTTAGGTGGAGCTCCCTATGGCGCCACGAAACGTGTGAGAGGTGTGCCAAACTGGGGCGACGGCGCCATGCGAACTGCGCCAGTGCAACCTCAGGTGGAGCTCCCTATGGGGCCACGAAACGTGTGAGGGGTGTGCCGAAACAGAGACATGCGGAGAGCAAAGGCAAGGAGGGGAAGGAAGGAGGAGGAGGAGGAGGAGGAGGAATGAGGAAGGAAAACGCGGTGCACCGTCTCTTCAAAACGAGGACCTCACACCACAGGATGGTTTGGAAAAACACAGTGTGCACCTGTGTGTGGGAACGGTAACGGTTCTTTTTCAAGAAATTCAACTCGGCAAACAACAACAACAACAACAACAACAACAACAACAACAACAACAACAACAACAACAACAACAACAACAACAACAACAACCATGAACAGCAGCAACAAGAACAACACTCACGTTAATAATGTGGGCTCTGATCTGCTCGCGTGCCATCCAACACGTGTAACCCAAACCCTCGACATCAACACCCTTTCGTTTTCGATCGTACCCCCTTGAGGGTATATCATCCTTACCTGCCGCGCGTAATGTGGCGTAGCCCCTGAGGCAGGGGCCGAGAGGACGGATGGGAGGAATGGACAATGGGGAGGGAGAAGGATGGAGCAACAGACAGAATAGCAAGAAGGGGGCTGGAAGCAGAAAACACATGGCAGGTCGGTCGGGCATATCTGGTGGTTAGACCCGAAAGGGCGGGTCGGGAAGGCGGGCCCAGGCGGCCAGGTCGAGCAGGCAGGACGCTGAAGAATGAGCCCTGCATGAATCGCGAGGAACTCTGTAGCGATAGCGCGATTCCCAAGTAAATCGTGAAAAAGGTAAAAGCGAGAGCATGATTCCTCAGTGCCGAGGGCGCGGCGTATGAATCCGCCGATCCTGTCGGCGTGTGGAAGACGCATCCCGGTGTCGTCGTCGTGCGTGGATCACCGTCGTCGTCGTCGTCGTCGTCGTCGTCGTCTCCGTCGTGTCCTCGTCGTCTCCGTCTCCGTTGTCCCTCGTCGTCTTCGTCGTTCCCCGTCTCCTTGAGCGCGCGAGCCAAAGCGACATTGAGCAACGTCGTAGTTGAGTCGTGGCGAAGCCCCTCCCTACCCTCCCCGCCGGGGGGGGGGGGGGTCGCCGGGGGGGGTCGCCACCCAGATACGCATCCTCCCCGGGGGGTCCCGGAGCTCAGAAAAGCTTCAAGACGAGCCAAGAGCGACAGAAGACACCCCCAAAAGGGTACAAGAGGGCCTCGACTCGACGAACGATGGCCCCAAGACGCCCAAGACGGCCCGAAGACGGCCCCAGAGGCCCTCAAGACGCTCCAAGAGAGCCCCAAGAGCACACCCAAGAGGGCCCCAACCGCCAAAATCGTAAATTTTACATAGGTTTTTGAATGATTTTGGCCTTCTCGCCTTTTCTGCTTTCCGACACTCCAAGACGGCCCAAGAGGCCCCCAAGAGGCACCCAAGAGCGCCCCAAGAGGCCTACAAGAGGGCCCCAAGACGGCCCAAGAAGGCCCCAGGACAGCCTAAGAGGCGCCCAAGACGGCCCAATAGGGCCCCAAGACGGGCCCAAGAAACGGCCAAGAGGGGGACGAGGAACCGAGAATTCGAGACTTCCGCCCTAAGAGGCCCCCGGGAAGCCCCAAAAGGCACCCAAAAGGCCCCAAGAGGCCCCCGAGCGGCGCCAAGACGCCCCCAAGATGCGCCGAAGACGGCCTCCGGAAGCCCCAAGAGGCCCCTAAGAGGCTTCAAGTTACCTTCCAGACGCCCCCGAGAGGTCATTCACGAGATCCCAACCAACATCCATAAGGCCTCCTCCTCCTCCCCCTTCACCCTTCCTCCTCCTACTCCCTTCCGCCTTCTCCTCCTCCTCCTCCTCCTCCTCCTCCTGCCCCCCCCCCTCGTGTTGTCTTTCGTCATCTTCAGGGTCGGCGGCAACGGCCGTAAGGCCTTCGCAATAAATTGCCAAGAAGTCCAACGCGAGAGCGCGATTCCTGTATAATTTGTGATCAGGTCCCGCGTGAGACCACGATTTGGGAATCAATTGTGAGAAAATATCAAGCAGGAGCCGCTGTGTTTGTAAACCGGAGGCCAGGGGCGCAGCTTGGTGACCCCAACGTGTCCTTTGTAAAAACCAGGTGCGGGCCTAGGAAGGAGCAAACTAATTCAAGACATATCATGGTTAGCGAACGTTATCTTATTCGGCGATTCGGCATTGGGCGGAAAAAGGGGGGGGGGTCTGGCTCTGGACGTCTGCTTTATGCGACTGTTTGCAGCACTGCGTCCTTCGGGAGAGCATCACCTGCTCGAAACAGGCGCCAAAAACAGTCAAAAAGTCTACTCCATGGGGGGGGGGTTGCGAAGGCCCGCGCCGATCGACAGAAAAATTACCAAAAACGACGATCACTTACTGAGGGGAATCAACGCTACATCAACAATCTGGACCGCGGAACTCCACTTCAGCCACGCCCCCAGGGACAAACAATGACCGTTCGGCACTACACTCTGACACGCACACACACACAGATACATACACATATATATATATATATATATATACCCTAAGAATATTTACCCTATATACCCATACATTATCCTAAGAATATTTACCCAAAGAATATTTACCCTATATATATATATATATATACGCATATGTATATATACCCTAAAAATATGTACCCCCCCACCCCACCCCACCCCCCCGCAATAGCCGGAAACTGCAACCTGCTGGCGGACTGGGGCCCCGACCTTTGTTGACGGACTGGGCCCCCGACAAAACATAGAAACCAGGTGTGTTTTCCCGCCGCAGCCGCTGACGACAACACCGACGACGACGAAGAGGAGGAGGAGCAGGGGGAGAAGGAACAGGAGGGGGAATACGAGGAGAAGGGGGACGCCCTGAAACGATCAAAGGCTGGATGCTCTACAGCTCATTGATCTGAAACTCCCACTGTTCTGAAACTCGTTGCCCCGCAACTCATTGTTGTGGAAATCGTTGTCCTGAAACTCATTGCTCGGAAACCCATTACTTCATACCTCCATCAAACGCTGATCGCCCTCAAACTCTGAAAAGGCTCATTTCTCTGAAACTCATTGCTCTGAAACTCTCACCGCTCTGAAGCTCACTGCTCTGGAACTCATTGTCATGGAACTCATTGCTATGAGAACCATTGCTCTGAAGCTCATTACTCTGAAACCCATTGCTCTGAAACTCATTGCCCGAGAACTTTCTCAAAGGCTCATTGCTCTGACACCCTCCGTCTGAAAGCTACAGGGCTCACAACGCTCTCACGAAATACACTTCGAGGAGCTCTGTGCCTCGTTCTCCTCCTACTCCTCCTCCCCCTCCTCCTTCCCCTCCTTCCCCTCCTCCGATACTTCGATTCTTGTTGCAAGCCTCTCTACGAAGAAGCTCGACATTCCTTTTCGCTTGGAGGGTCGCCCAGGAGGCTTTGTCCGATGGGAGAAACAACCGTCCACCATCATTCAGCACGGCGCGCGTTATTGGGAAACTAATTCCTCCTCCTTCTCCTCCTCCTCCTCCTCCTCCTCCTCCTCCTCCTCCTCCTCCCCTTCCTCCTTCCCTCCTCCTCCTCCCCTCCCTCCTCCTCCCCCTCCTCATCCTCCCCTCCTCCTCCTCCCCTCACTCCTCCTCCTCCTCCTCCTCATCCGCCGTCCTCCTCCTCCTCGCCTCCTCCTCCGTCCTGATCCTCCTCCGATGCTTCGATTCGCATTGCAAACCTTCCTACGAACAAGCTCGAGTCCCTTTCGCGTGGAGGGAAACCCCAGGAGGGCTTGTCCGATGGGAAAAAATATCCGTCCACCATGATTCAGCACGCTGCGCATTAGTGGGCAACATATTCCTCCTCCCTCCCTCCCTCCCTCCCTCCTCCCTCCCTCCTTCTCATCCTCCTCCCTCCTCCTCTTCCTCCTTAGCTACTCCTCCCCCTCCTCCTGCTCCTCCACCGTCTCCTTCTTCTTCTACTCCTCCTTCCCCTCCTCCTCCGATGCATCGATTATGTTCGCAAGCCTTCCTGCGAACAAGCTCGAAATTCCCCTCGCGCGGAGGGAAGCCCAGGAGGCATTGTCCGATGGGGGAGATAACCGTCCACCATTATTCAGCACGGCGCGGATGAGTGGGAAACTAATTCCTCCTCCGCCTCCTCCTCCTCCTCTTCCTCCTCCTCCTCCTCCTCCTCCTCCTCCTCCTCCTCCCTCCTCCCCCTCCTCCCTCCTCCCTTCTCCCTCCCTCCCTCCTCCCTCCTCCCTCCTCCTCCTCGTCCTCCTCCTCCTTCTCCTCCTCCTCCCTCTCCTCCTCTCAGCTTAGGTAACGGGGGTGTCATTGGGATATGCGTCGCCAGTGCTTGCAAGAAAGCTTCGTGACCCTAGCAAGAGGAGGAGCCAGAGGAGGAGGAGGAGGAGGAGGAGGAGGAGGAGGAGGAGGAGGAGGGAGTGAGGAGGGAGGGCCAGTTTATTCACCGCCGAGAGCTCCAGGGGGGGGGGTAAAAACTAAAGGCTCTTCGAGGTTATATATCTATATGTGTATGTAGATATGCATACATACATGATTACACCTAGATGCATACTTACGTACGTGTGTACATGTATCTATGTCAAACATAAAACTCTGCGTGTGCTGCACAAGCAAGCCTGACGAATCCTGTGGTGATGCGGTTTCCTCGTCCATCCGGCGAGCCTGAAGTTCACGAATCTACACCCGCTTGCTGGGAGTTGTGCAACAATAGAGGAAAAAGAACTATGCACATGCACCGATTCTGGCCAGGCCCATCCTGAGCCCAGGATCGGTGCATACGCCCTCCTGCCTTGGCCAGGAAGGCATATGCACCGATCCTGGGTCAAAGATGGGCCTTGCAAGGATCGGTGCATGTGCATAGTTCTCTTCGCCCGAAACAAGGGATCCCCCTCCAACGCCCGAAACTAGTATTTACAGACCCTCCTGTCGGCGATCGCTCCCCTGACAGCAAGCGCTGCCCAATCGGATCTGCTGCTCCCGAACGGCACCCTGCTGCAGCCGGCCCGGTATCACAAGGAGGCGCGATGAGGACGCAAGGGCCTTGGACACCCACGTCGAAGGTTCTCGAGCGGGGCGCGGCGAACGGCAGTGGCGAAGGGTGGACCGAGGAGGCAAGGATGCAAGGGCAACCTTCGGAAGTCTGCCCATCCATACTGTGCCGGTCGACTGTATTGCTCCTCCTCCTCCTCCTCGTTGTCCGTGTGCCCCTCTTCTGGCTCCTCCTCTTCGTCTTCCCCCTCCTCTGACCCAGAAAAAAACATATCCCCAATCCCAAAATCGCGGATTCACCGAGGACTCGAAGATCGGCCAAGGATTTCGGGGTATGTCTTGCGTTCGTCGTTGTCACCCTGGTAAAACCCTGCCCCCAACCCCCCCTCCCCGAAGTCTCGAGGAGCCTGCGTTTCGTCTTGGCCCTCGCGTTTTTGGGATTGGGCGTCTTTTTTGAATTAGTGGTCCTCCTCCCTCAGTCGACGCGTGTTCCTAACTTCTCGCTGTCCGTGTGCCCCTCTTCTGGCTCCTCCTCTTCGTCTTCCCCCTCCTCCTCCCTCGTCTTCCTCCTCCTCCTCCTCCTCCTCCTCCTCCTCCTCCTCCCTCCATCCCTCCCTCCCTCCCTCCCCTCCCTCCCTCCCTCCCCCTCCTCCTCCTCCTCCTCCTCCTCCTCCTCATCCTCTCCTCCTCCTCCTCCTCCTCCTCCTCCTCCTCCTCCTCCTCCTCTCCTCCTCCTCCTCCTCCTTCTCCCTCGCCTGGCTCCTCCTCCCTCGTCTCGACGCGTTGTCGTCGAACTTCTCGACAAGGGGGCGGCGGCGTGCCGAGAGCACCCGTCGGATTTTCGTGGGGGGGGGGGGGGGGGGGGCGCCTCGGTCGCCAGGAGCTCCCTCTCGGACGACTTGAGGGCCATGGTGTCCGCCTCCTCCTCCTCCTCCTCCTCCTCCTCCTCCTCCTCCTCCCTCTTCTGGCTCCTCCTCCCTCGGTCGACGCGTTTTTTCGGGGGGGGGACGCCTTGGTCGCCATGAGCTCCTTCTCGGACGACTTGAGGGCCATGGTGTCCGCCTCCTTCGAGCAACAGAACAAGAGGGCGGGCAATATGCATATCCATATCCGGTGCGTCTTGGACTTGCTTGGAAGGGGCGCCGCAGGGCCGTGGCGCACTGGATGTGGATAAAAGGTGCGCCTTCTGGAGGCAGGTTCTGATCCCTATCCAGTGCGCCTCGTGTTTCTTGGGAAGAGAGTCCGGAGCTCCAAGACGCACTGGATGTGGATAAAGAATTGCCCGCACAGAGGGCCCCTGACCCTGAAGGGGAACCGAGACACACAGATGAATACACACGAATAAGAAGATTCCCCATCTTGTCCTATATGTTGTGGGGCTCTGTCTCCCCCCCCCCCCACTTCCCATATTTTCTGGGTTCTGGGTTTCTGTCTTCCCCCCCGTATTTGCTGGGTGTCTGTGTGTGTTTTTCCCTCCTGAAAAACAAAGGCCCCCTAACCCTCAGGGGGAGGGGAGGCAAGTTCGGAGGGCCAGAGACATAAGTGGCAGAGGGCTTCTTTGTTCTGCAGGTGCTCCAGGCCAAGCCGCCCAGATGCCATCGTCCCCAATGCGAGGACGGCGACCTCAGTGAGGCCAAGTCTCCATCGTGCCACTCGGGTCAATTAGGTTAGGAGACAAGTACTGCGAGGTTTTGGTCGGAAAAACTCAGGAGGAATTAGCCCCATGTGAGACATTTGGGAGCTGTTACGCTGGAGTGGGCCTCGGACTAAACAAAATTAAGCGGGACTAATCGGGATTGAACCGTATTAAGCGGAACTAAACGGGATTAAAACGGATCAAAGGGGATTTCGGACCAGGGCTAAATCAGAATTTGACCTCCCAGGAGTTGCATCCGAAATTCGGGGTCGTTGTGTTCTCAGTGAGGTCCTTGGCCTGCTCCAGGTTCGCTTTCTCGCTGGTCTTCTTGCTGATGGACCTCGGCCGCGCGGCGGGCGCGGCCGCGCGGAAAGGCCGAGGGCGCACGGAGCCGGAGGACAGCGTGCGGGACGGAAGAGCAGAAGGGACACATGGCTTGAGAATCTCAGACCCTTTGACGATCTCAAGCAGTGCTGAACCTAAACGGCGTGTTTCGTTTTCGTTTTGGTTTCGTTCTCCCTCGTGTTGTCTTCAATCCGCCGCTACCGCAAAACAAAATCGCAACGAAAACGGCCCACGAAATCGCCAAAACACCGTTTAGGTCCACCCCTGGAGGTCGCCATGAGCCAGGAAGGGGCCTTTCCACGATCTGGCTTTCGACTACGGCAGACCCGATAAGAAAAGGGATACTGTGGACCAGGCAAAGGAAATTCGACGATCCGAATGTCGACTACGATAATCAAGCCTTAAAATGCCGAACCCGGATAGGCGGATGAGCAATTCATGCAGGAGGAGGAAGGCGCCAGTAGAAGACGAGTCCAAGTCCAAGCCCCCCCGACCAGCAACAGCCAAAACCCAGGACCCTCAGCCGCTAGCTTGGCGGTTCCTCACACCAGATAAAAATCGAGGCGATTCTTCTGAAAAGACACACGTTGATAGGAACAAGGGAAGGCGACACCAAAACCAACAGGGCGAGGATATGCGCGGAAGCAAAGGGGGTCCCCTGGTGGTGTGGTCCCCCCCTCTCGCACGAGACATCCCCCGTCTCCCGCTCGGGGAGGCATTCTGAACCTCCTCGCTGGAATTGGGCCCCCTCGTGGGGTTGGTATATATTCCCCTCCCTCCGAGTTATGTCGCATATTCGGAAGACCTTGTCTGTCCCGTCGCGGCCCTGTCCGCGTCGAATATATGTCGAATCCATGTCGGACTCGTCGGATTCGTGTCGAATCTGCGTCTAATCCGCGCCGGGTCCACGCCAAATCCGCGTCGAGTCCGCATCGAGCCCGCGTTGTCGGGCACACGAAAGAACACCGATTTGGGGACAGGCGAGCCCCCCCGAAAATGCAACGTAACACATGGTGCGCGGACAAACGGCGCAGGAGGCCCGGAGTGGGGAAGGCAAAGGGTGCCCATGCCGCTACTCCTGGGACCTTTCCCGGGGTGCGTTTTGACCCGGATTGCGAGGCGAATCCAACGGTGGCGGCGAGGACCGTCAAGCATACACTAAGGCAACACTGAAGGGAGGAGGCCGGCCCGCCGGCCGACGCACGCGAGCGCCGCAGGCTCGCTGTTTTCCCATCCCCTAGAGCCAAAGTGGCATAGCTGCGGAAGCAGAAGTAGTCAGTCAGTGCAGCAGGCAGGCAGCGCGCGCAAGGAGAGGGAGCAGGCAGGGCGAAAAATTGGTGGTGCGGAAGGGGCGCATTGACTTCCAGGCGGGGAGGGAAAAAGGGGAAACGGGCAAAAGGTAGCGGTATTGGTACCTTTTGCTCCTGTTGAGGGTGGAGGTGCCTGGCGACGGGCCCAGGACTGCGCACCTGCGTGCAGCGCAGGATGGCGGCCCCCCCTTCACTGGAGCAGGGACCGACCGTCCAGGCACTCCAAGAGGCATAACACGACATGCTCTTAGCACCTCCTCGGGTTCTACGAACAAAAACGTCTTTAGAACACAAGCCCGGCGTTAAGAAAAAGCAGGCTCGGCCAGAAACGTTCTGATAACATGTCCCTCAGCAGGGCTGAACCTAAACGGTGTTTTTCGTGTTCGTTATGGTTTCATTTTCCCACGTGTTGTCTTCAGTCCGCCTCTACCGCAAAACGAAGTCGACACGAAAACGGCCCACGAAATCGCCCAAACACCGTTTAGGTCCAGCCCTGTCCTGCAGACCAAGCACGGTTCTCAGACCACTCTCTGGTGGGCCTGTAGGCGAGCCAGGGCGCTTAGCCGCTGCTCCCTTCTCGCGCTGCGCGCCTCCCGGGGAGCGCGTGCGGACCAGGGGGCTGCGGGGCGAGCGGGGCCGGGGCTACGAGGGGCGACGCTGCAGCCGGGCCGCTGAAAGAAGGAACGCTAAAGAAGGGACGAAATCCCTTCTTGGCCCTGTACAGTGAAAACGTAAGTAAGGACGCGTGGTATGGACGCAAGACCCTTGGAGGCCGAAGTTGAAGTATTCTGGCCTGCGAAAATTGCTAGGGACGGGCCGCAGAGGCTGAGGCAGGCAAGGACCCAAGAATGCCCTTGAAAAAATCGTTGGTCCTTACTATGCGCGTTGACTGTAAGCGCCTCCGTGCCCCAGGAGGGCAAGAGGAAACGCACGGGAGAAACCTAAGGCACATCGAGCCCCTTCCGAACCCAAACTGTTCCTTATTTCTGAAGGGGCCCTGGGACACACAAATAAATACACACAAATAAAAGAATTCCCAATATTTTCCATATGTTCTGGGTTTCTGTCTTCCCCCCCACTTCCCATATTTTCCCATATTTTCCCATATTTTCTGGGGAATCGACGATTAATTGTGTCTGTGTGTTTTTTTCCCCTCCTGAATTTCAGCGTCTTGACTGCAGGCCGGGGGGGACCGGCTCGCAGCAGGAGCTCGACCACAAGAAAAAGCGCCCTCAAAGAGAAACCCGACCCTGAGACCGCAGGACGCCCATGGTCTTCTGCTGTGGGACCGTCACGCCCTCCACTGCAAGAAGGCCATCGGAGCCCAAGAAACCAGGGCACCCTGGAGGCAAGCAAGGTGTTCTGTTGGCATGTGTTTCAACTGGAGACTGTTTTTGTTGGCAGGGTCCTGCGATAGCCCGGGTTGTCGGGCTTGCCCCCCCTCCCCCCCCATAACCTAACCTTGCTGGTTGTGCAGGTCCAGGGTGGGGGGGCGCGGGCATGCAGGGCTGCCCACAACGCGAAGGTTAGATTATCGGCCGGCCCCCTCCTCCCCCCCTGGATAGCCCGGGTTATCGCCGTTTTTTATTTATTTTTTGTTTTAAAAAAAAAAAGAAAAAATATCCCGACAAAGCAACCTAACAGCGATGTGTAAGAGCATATCTGGAAGCATTCCCCTTAAGATTCAGATAAGAATCCTGTTGTAGAATTCTGCTGTTCTCGCAGTCGTGGTCGCATTCGCGATGGCAGTCGCAGTGGCAACAGCAGTCGCAGTCACAGCCTCAGCCTCAGCCTGCCTCAGCCTCAGCCTGCCTCAGCCTCAGCCTGCCTCAGCCTCGCCCTCAGCCTCTTCAGCCTCAACATCAGTCTGCCTTCAGCCTCGGCCTCAGCCTGCCTCAGCCTCACCCTCAGCCTGCATCAGCCTCAGCCTGCCTCAGCCTCGCCCTCAGCCTGCTTCAGCCTCAACATCAGTCTGCCTTCAGCCTCGGCCTCAGCCTGCCTCAGCCTCACCCTGCATCAGCCTCAGCCTCAGCCTCAGCCTGCCTCAGCATCAGCCTGCCTCAGCCTCAGCCTCAGCCTGCCTCTGCCTCAGCCTCAGCCTGCTTCAGCCTCAGCCTCAGTCTGCCGTCGGCCTCGGCCTCGGCCTCAGCCTCAGCCTGCCTCACCCTCAGCCTGCATCAGCCTCAGCCTCAGCCACAGCCTGCCTCAGCATCAGCCTGCCTCAGCCTCAGCCTCAGCCTCAGCCTGCCTCAGCCTCAGCCTCAGCCTGCTTCAGCCTCAGCCTGAGTTTGCCTGCAGCCTCGGCCTCAGCCTCAGCCTGCCTCAGCCTCAGCCTGCCTCAGCCTCAGCCTCAGCCTCAGCCTGCCTCAGCCTCAACCTGCCTCAGCCTCAGCCTCAGCCTGCCTCAGCCTCAGCCTCAGCCTGCTTCAGCCTCAGCCTCAGTCTGCCTTCAGCCTCGGCCTCAGCCTCAGCCTGCCTCAGCCTCAGCCTGCATCAGCCTCAGCCTCAGCCTCAGCCTGCCTCAGCATCAGCCTGCCTCAGCCTCAGCCTCAGCCTCAGCCTCAGCCTCAGCCTCAGCCTGCAGCCTCAGCCTCAGCCTCAGCCTCAGCCTCGCCTTCAGCCTCGCCTCGCCTCAGCCTCAGCCTGCCTCAGCCTCAGCCTGCATCAGCCTCAGCCTCAGCCTCAGCCTGCCTCAGCATCAGCCTGCCTCAGCCTCAGCCTCAGCCTGCCTCAGCCTCAGCCTCAGCCTGCTTCAGCCTCAGCCTCTGCCTTCAGCCTCGGCCTCAGCCTCAGCCTGCCTCAGCCTCAGCCTGCCTCAGCCTCAGCCTCAGCCTGCCTTCAGCCTCAGCCTCAGTCTGCCTTCAGCCTCAGCCTCAGCCTGCCTCAGCCTCAGCCTGCATCAGCCTCAGCCTCAGCCTCAGCCTGCCTCAGCATCAGCCTGCCTCAGCCTCAGCCTCAGCCTGCCTCAGCCTCAGCCTCAGCCTGCTTCAGCCTCAGCCTCAGTCTGCCTTCAGCCTTGGCCTCAGCCTCAGCCTGCCTCAGCCTCAGCCTGCATCAGCCTCAGCCTCAGCCTCAGCCTGCCTCAGCATCAGCCTGCCTCAGCCTCAGCCTCAGCCTGCCTCAGCCTCAGCCTCAGCCTGCTTCAGCCTCAGCCTCAGTCTGCCTTCAGCCTCGGCCTCAGCCTCAGCCTGCCTTCAGCCTCAGCCTGCCTCAGCCTCAGCATCAGCCTGCCTCAGCATTCAAAGTGTGGCCCGGGAATGGAGTTCTGGGAACTCGAAGAACACGAAATGGCCTACAGTTGGCTCCGGGCATTCAAAATCATGCCCAGGAATGGAGTTCTGGGAACTCGAACACCACGAAGTGGCCTACAGTTGGCTCCGGGCATCCAAAATGTGGCCCGGGAATGGAGTTCTGGGAAGTCGAAGAGCACGAAGTGGCCTACAGTTGGCTCCGGGCATCCAAAATGTGGCCCGGGAATGGAGTTCTGGGAAGTCGAAGAGCACGAAGTGGCCTACAGTTGGCTCCGGGCATTCAGAATGTGGCCCGGGAATGGAGTTCTGGGAAATCGAAAAGCACGAAGTGTGTGACTGTATGCGAAAAACGATCCCCCCCGGCAAACCCCAACGGCCCCCCAACGGCTGCCCAGACCCCCCTGTGGAGTAATGTGCTGCTCTCTTTTGAGACTACTAGAAACCTATCAGTCTTCGCTGTTAGGTAAAAATCTCCTGTGGGGGGAGACACATCGACCTGGCATCTGCGAGACATCGGCGGTGTACAGATCGACGACAGGCCCCGCGAATCCGCACGCTCCACTGGGCGGGTTGGGGCTGCAGTCGGACCCTGGGCAGCACAACATCCTGCACATGAGACCCTCCGCCAGCCAAACGGATGACCGTCCGAGGGTGCCCTCTCCCACGGTGCACGAGAACACCGAACAAACACGAAGAACATCAGGGTAACCTCCCCGAACCGACCTCGATCTTGTGCCTCGGTCCGACCGTATCGGGCCCCTTATGGGCGATCAACGGGCGATTGGGGCACCCTATGAGTAGGTCGGGCATGTCCTCCTACAGGCGGCTTGTGGAAGAACAAAAGTCAGAAAGAGTCCACAAATTGTCAGAACCAGTCATCCTCGAGGGACATGCCCGACTTAACCCTATGCCTGTCTCCTGCTATCGATGCCCCTGAGGGGCGTGGCCCGCTAGAGAGATGTGCCAGGAGGGTCGGCGGGCCCGCATGCGAACGCGCCCACCCGGGCCGTACGTGGAGCTCAGAGAGGTGGGGGCACTGCCTGTGCTAGTAGACGAGCACGTCCCACTACTCCCAAAATAGCTGCTCCCAAATGGCCTGGATCCGCCATGGGGGATTCCCCGACCCCCGACGTCGTGATTTCTTCATGACGTGAGCCCCAGGAGCCTGGACCCCTTCCCGGGGACCAGTTTTTCATCCTGAGCCATTTTTTGACAGTCCCTCGGCTCGGCGAGGGCCCCCCGGAGGCCGAAAATAGCGACAAACCTCCCGTCGTGACTTTCTCACAACGCCAGAGGGTCCGGGTTTACGACCCACTCATTACATCGGTGCAGACATGTGTGCTTCGAATGTCTAAGAGTAGTTAGGCACTTTGCGAGTCGTGGAGCGCGCTCGGTGACAGCGAGGCGGGGGGGGGAGCGACTTCGGGCCCCGCCGTCGTCCCCGCGGCGCCTCCTCGATAAAGACGCCCGCGCTCTCCCAGCACGCCGCCCCACCGCCCACCACGCGAGGGCACTCGCCGACGGCCTCCCGTGCACGACCGCGGCCCCGGCCCCCCCCCCCAGGGGCCCAGACCCCCTCGCGCGAGAGAGCGCAGAGGTCCTCCGAGCCCCACTGGGGGGGAAAACGGCAGCGGGGGGCTGGCTCGAGGGGGCGAGGAGGAGGAGGAGGAGGAGGAGCATAGAGGAGGAGGAGCATAGAGGAGGAGGAGGAGGAGGAGGAGGAGGAGGAGGAGGAGGAGGAGGAGGAGGAGGAGGAGGAGGAGGAGGAGGAGGAGGAGGAGGAGGAAGAGGAGGGTGGTATTGAGCTTGCATCGGCGATGCATCGCCGATCGACTGGCGACGGGCCCTCGCTGGCGAAGCCAAGCGCTCCTGGGCGGGCTGGGCTCTCGTCGGGCTCCTGCCGGCGATGACATGGGCGACTGGGGGTCGATGTGTCCCCCTTTCGCCCTGACTGAGGACCGGCGTTGCGGGAAAATGACCCTCGTGGTCTGGTCTTCGGGCCACACCTCGGGGGGCACCCCCGGAACGCTCCCGGCGAGGCGCAGCCGCTGGAAGGCATCGCGAGGCTGGACAAGCCGCCGAGCACGGACGACAACTCCCGAAAGCCCAGAGATCCGACGTCGTGAATTTTTGGATACGGGGTCCCCGGAAGTCTCGACCCATTCCCCCGGTGTTTCATCCTGAGTCGTTTTTTGACGGTCCCGAGGCCCGGCGAGGGCCCCTGGGGGCCGAAATGTGCGAACAACCTCCGACTTGATGTATTGAATACGTTGGATCTCTGGGGGCGACAAACTCCCGAGAACCTCGAAACTCGAGGAGGAGGAGGAGAAGCAGAAGGAGGAGGACGCGGAGGAGGACGAGGAAGAGGAGGAGGAGGAGGAGGAGGAGGAGGAGGAGGAGGAGGAGGAGGACAAGGAGGAGGACGAGGACGACGACGACGAGGAGGAGGAGGAGGAGGAGCTTCCTGCCCCCCACCAACGTTGCCCTGGACCCCCCGGCGGGGAGCAGCGGCCGAGAAGAGAGGGGGGGCCCGCTCGGTGGGGATGGACTACAGAACTGGTTTGCCCAAAAATTGCCCCCCCCCCCCCCTCCCCCTCCCTCTCCTCCTCCTCAGTCCTCCTTCCTCCACCTCCCTCCTCCTCCCTCCTCCCTCCTCCTCCCTCCTCCTCCCTCCTCCCTCCCTCCTCCTCCTTCCTCCCTCCTCCTCCCTCCCTCCTCCCCCCATCCCTCCTCGCCCATTTCTCGTACACTCGGCGAGGGAAATCATTCGGGAGTGCGTCTATTCTGAAGACGATCCCCTGTTCGAGCCAGGGGGGCGTCACCCAGACTTGCGCACTTGTGCCCCGCGATGCACGGCGCGCGCGGCTCGTCCCTGCGGAAACAACACTACACAAACCAGACTGATGCTCTCGAGAGCTCTCCTGGGGTGCGCCCTGATCAAAATGTCGAGGCGAGTCCAACGGTGGCGACCTTTGCCTTGTGGATGCCAAGACAATGGACACTCGAACAATCCTATCATTGAACTAACATATGTTTAAAATGTATAAAAGGTATTGTAAACATGTTTCAAGCATGTTCTTACATAGTTAAAACATGTTTGAAACTTGTGGCCTCTGGAACTTACTTGGCAGCATGCTTCCTCTCCATTGATCGACTTCCACAAGGCTAATGTTGTCTATCAGCGGCCGCGAAAGGAGCAGAAAAAGACCTTTGCCCCCAAGAAGACCCACCTTGGCGACATCGAGGCGAGGCTAGCGGCACTGGTACCTTTGCCTCCTCTGAGTCTTCGCTCTCAGACAGCTGTCGGCTCATCTCGCCCTCGCTCGGGCGGCGGCGCTTCTCTTGCGATATGTGTGTGCGTGTGTGTGTGCTCCTGCGTGCAGTCCTCGCAAGAGGACCCAAGGTGCTCCTTGATGGTCCTCCCCGGAAGAGTCACGCGTCCGAGCGGTGCCCAGTCAGGGGCGAGGCCGCGGCCGTGGCCGTGGCCACGGCGTGGCCACGGCGGACCGCAGCCGGGCCGCCCGACCGCCGCCGGGCAGGAGGGGAGAGGGAGAAGGAGGAGGAGGAGGAAGGAGGAGGAGGAGAAGGAGGAGGAGGAGCGGGAGGAGGAGGAGGAGGGGGAGGAGGAGAAGGAGGAGGAGGAGGAGGAGGAGGAGGAGGAGGAGGAGGAGGAGGGGGAGGAGGAGGGGCCACGCGGACCGCCGTGGCCGTGGCCACGGCGTGCGCGTCGCAGGGTCGACGGGAGCCCCGGGGTCGACGGCTCCCCGCCGACCCCCGGGGCCCGTCGAAGCTCGCTGCGAGGAGTTCGCAACGCTGCGCTCGCGCGCGTGCCGGCCCCACTTTGCCCCCTCTCCACCCCTTCCTCCTCCTCCTCCTCCTCCTCCTGCTCCTCCTCCTCCTCCTCCTCCTCCTGGTCCTCCTCCTCCTCCTCCTCGTCGTCCTCCTGGTCCTCCTCCTCCTCCTCCTCCCTCCTCCTCCCCCTCCTCCTCCTATGCTCCTCCAGTGCTCCCCAGAGCGCGCGCCCTCCTTCCCTTCCCCGCGGGGCACCGAGGCTGACACGGCCCTGTCGGTCCTCGGCCGATCTTGGTCGACACCGTCGTCGGCGTCGTGGATGTCGTCGTCGTTGCCGCCGCCGTCGTCGTCGTCCTCGTCGTCGTTGAAGTCAAAGTCACGATGCCACCATGTCGTCGCCGACATCGTCAGGTCGTCTTCGTCGCGGTCGTCGCGTCGTCGTCGATGTCGCGAGTATCGTGGTCGATGTCGAATCCGTCCATCGTGAATGGCTTCGTCGTCGTCGGCGTCGCTGTCGTCCTGAGCCCGCTCCCCCTCGCCCTCGCGCCGCTCAGCCGCCGAGTCGCGCGCTTGAGGTCCGCGGCCCTCTTGGAGGCCGAGTCGGCCATCAGCTGCTCGTAGGCAGCCTGGGAGTTCTTCTCCATGACCTTGCGGGGACCACACGCCGACTTCGACCTCGAGGGTTTGAGCGAGTTCGACGGGCTCTCGATCTCCCAGTGCTGCATGTTGGCTTTGTCACATCGTGGAGTGTTTGGGACGTCTGATAGAGTCACCCAGTGCGCTGACGGATAAGCATGCTGGTTTATCTCGCCGTCCTCTGCTTTCAAAGCAAAGTGGAGATCTCTCGAGCAAGGCACCTGTTTTGGCCCCCCAAAGGGCAACGGGGAGCCGCCAAAGGGCATCTCACGGGCCCGTTTACGCCCAAATTCTGGAGGTGTCTCGAGCGATGCATTCGGTTTGCAGATCCGACTGATCGCCAAGACCACCGCGAAGTTGCAAGCTCATACTGTCACACTCAGTCACTCACATTGGGAACGGCCGGGGAATAAGATGCACAGATGGGGATCCCCGCGTCGAGTAATTCATCGTACTTAATCTCCGCGACAGTAGCTGGACAGGGACAGGCCATCGAGGCACACACCTGTTGGTCGAGTAAAACAAATTAAATGAGCTCGTTCACCTCCCAAGTGTAGATTAAAGGAACAAGAACGCGTAAACATGAACGTTCGGAGCTCCGTGCGGGTCGGGGCTCGGCGTGATTTTCTTGGATCGGCGCTGGACCCTGCTCCCTGGCGCGCGGAGCGCGCTAGGGGCTGCGGCGCCGCCAGGGAGCTCCAGCTCCGATCCGGGAAATCTGAGCTGAGCTCCGAAAGTTGATGTGCACACAGCTTTCTCCAAAAGAAGCGTGTCACCACAAAACGGTCTCAGTCAGGAGCACGTCGTGCAAACAACCAGGTCCTCAACACTCTCTTTGGTGGGCCTGTGATTGTGCAAGCCAGGATGCCTCGCCACTGCTTGGTGTGCACGTCTGCCTCCCGTCAGCGTGGCATCCGCTTTTTCTTGAGCAGGGACCGACCGTTCCGGCATTCCTATAGTCCTGCCACGAAGTGTTCTTATATAGAACTCGGAACCCGAACATGTTCTGAGAATAAGCACAATGTTCTCAGAACATACACCTGATGTTTTGAAACAAGAATGCAGTCCCGGCAAGACATGTTCTAAGAACATTTCGCGCAGACCACAAAAGTGAAGGGGCCCGAGGACACACAAATAAATACACACAAGTAAACATGCTCCCCATAGTTTCCCATATGTTCTGGGGTTTTGTCCTCCCCCCACTTCCCATCTTTTCCCATCTGTTCTGGGGAGTCGACGATTCATTGTGTCTGTGTGGTTTTCTCCCTCCTGAAAAAGGCCCTCAGAGCATTGCTTGGTGGGGAGGGAGAGGGGGAGGGGGAGGGGGAGGGGAGGGGGGAGGGGGAGGGGGAGGAGGAGGGAGGAGGAGGAGGAGGAGGAGGAGGAGGAGGAGGAGAGGAGGAGGAGGAGGAGGAGGAGGAGGAGGAGGAGGAGGAGGAGTGGGGCTGTGGGCGAGCCAGGCCGCCCCGCCGCTGCTCGACCTGCGGCTCGGCCCCGGTAGCCCCGCGGGGGGCGGACCCGGCGCGCGCCCGCGCCCCGCGGCCGCGGCGGGCAGCGCGAGCAGCAGCCCGGGAGCGCTCGAGGCACCGCGAGGAGGCCCCCTCAGCACAGAGGGCCGTTTTTTTTTGTAAACAAAAAAATTTAAAAAATATGACATCGGATGTTGAACATATGGGATGCTTAATACAATGCTTAATGTATGAATGAATTGATGCATGAACCCACCACTGCTTTCAACACTAAACCCCTGCATTTGTAACATGCATGATCCGCTCGCGGAACATGCAAGTAAAAACGGCACCGTGGGAGCGGGTCGGGGGTGGCGAGGGGTGCCCCTGGCCCGGGGCGCCCCCAGCCGTTCGCTCCGCTCCGAGAGCCCCGAAGCGGCCCCCTGGGCCTCGCGGGGGAGCTCTGGAGGTCGTCGTGTGGGGCCCCCCTGGGAGAGCCGGGGGGGCGCCCTGGGCCCGGGGGGCACCTTCGGCAACACCTGGGAACAAGGAAAGGCGAAACCAACACCAGCATGGCGAGGACCTGCGCGAGGAGCAAAGGGGGGGCCTCCCCGGTGGTGTGGTCCACCCCTCTCGCTCGAGACGTCCCCGGCCTCCAGCTCGGGGAGGCGTCGTGGACCTCCTGGATGGAGGTGGGCCCCCTGGTGGTGTTGGTGTCGCATCTCCCTCCTCCGATCAGCAGCAGCAGGTCGGGGGTTGCGAAAGGTGCCCCTGGCCCAAAGTGCCCCCAGCTGTTCGCTCCGCTTCGAAAGCCCCCGCGGCCCCAGGAGGGAGGAGGGAGGAGGGAGGAGGGAGGAGGAGGAGGAGGAGGGAGGAGAAAGGAGGGAGGAGGGAGGACGGAGGAGGGAGGACGGAGGAGGGAGGAGGGAGGAGGGAGGAGGAGGAGGAGGAGGAGGAGGAGGAGGAGAAGGAGCTAAGTGGGCGAAGTGCAAAACGACAGGGGAGTCGCATGAGAGAGGGAGGCCCAATGGCGTCAGACATCAATCAGACGAGCTGGAGGAGGAGAGGGGCGAATGCGGGGCCCGCCTGGCAGCCGAACCCGAGGAGGAGGAGGAGGAGGAGGAGGAGGAGGAGGAGGAGGAGGAGGAGGAGGAGGAGGAGGAGGAGGAGGAGGGGAGGAGGAGGAGGAGGAGGAGGGAGGAGGGAGGAGGAGGAGGAGGAGGAGGAGGAGGAGGAGGAGGAGGAGGGGGAGGAGGAGGGAGGGGAGCTCTGGAGGCCGTGGGGAGCCCCCTTGGAGAGCCTGGGAGGCACCCTGGGCCACGGGTATCTCTGGCAACACCCGGCGGGGGGAGCGGACAAGACGAGTGAAGAAGCCCCAGGGCACACGAAGAAATACACACAAATAGCAGGATTCTCATAGTTTCCCATATGTTCTGGGTGTTTGTCTTTCCCCCCACTTCCCATATTTTCCCATATTTTCCTGGGTGTCGACGATTACTTTTGTCTGTTTGTCCCTCCTGAACGAAACCAGGACGAGGATGAAACCGGGTGAGGATGAATCGAGACTCTCTGGGATCCGGCGGCTCTGGAAGGTGTCTCGGGCGCCGCGGCCCTCTCAGAGCGTCCCCGAACGCTCTGAGAGCGTTCCCCTGGAACGGATCTATCCTCGTCCTAGCCTTAAGTCAGGCATGTCCCCCTACAGGCGGATTTCGGACGAAAAATCAAAAATATTCAAAACACAATTCAAAATTGAACAAGAACACCAGAAAAAAAACGTCCCCATACTATTTGTTTACTATTTTTGAATATTCCTCCTGTAGAAAGATCTGCCCGACTGAATTCTAGCCCCGTCCGGCCTGCAGTGGCATGCCAGGGGGAAAACTTTCCCGCCTTCATGAGTCGGGCGTCCTCGACGGCGGCAGTGTAAGCTGTACCACCCCTCGTCCGCTGAAGGGGGGAGGCGAGAACGTCCAGGGAGAAGATGAACTGACTGCTCGCAAGGTGCATGACGACTTCGGAAGATGTTGGGGGGAAACGAATAATAGCCGTGGCGTCTGGCAGGAGCAGGAAGTGCACGACGCCAGAGCAGCAGAGCCGAGCACGACGACGACGACAACGACGACGACGAGGACGACGACAAGGACGACAAGGAAGACGACAAGGACGACGACGGAAACGACGAGGACGACGACGAGGACGCCGCCGACGACGACGACAAGGACGACGACAAGGGTGGATGCGGCGGAGAAGCACAGCTGGCAGCGGCAGAGGCGGCCAGCGGTCGGCCATGGGGCACGGCACGCCTTGGCCTCCGTCATCTCCTTGTCCAGGTCTTTGACCAGCAGGTCGATCATCGCAATGGCGCCGGTAGTCTCCTGCGACTTCTTGCCGTAGGCCCCCCACGTGTCCTCGCGCCGGCCAGGTCGGCTCCAAGCCAAGCCGGAGGACGGGCATGCCCCCCCCGTTCGCTTCCCGCCGCCGCCGCCGCCCGAGCCGAGGACAGCAGCTGCCGCCGTCCCCGTCTTCCCATCACCCCCCGCACGATACCCTGTCCCCCCCCTCCGTGACGGAATAGCCCACTCACCAAGAACACACCTTGTGTTTTTGCATGTTCGGAGGCCTGCTCTAAGTCTGTCTCCCAGACGCACAGGACTGCACAGTAGGACGGCGCGAGGCAACGGTGCGACGAACACAGTAAAACGGGCCAGTCTCCTCCAACATGGTTTTCGTGTCTCATAAGTGACGGCATCCATCGCCTCGATCGGGGGTCACAACTGCCGTGGAGTGCTGCAGAACACTGAATTCTCGGGGGCGGGGGATTCTGGGGTGGCGGTCTGGGGAGCCACATTTTTTCAATGTTGGCCTCTCGCTGTAGCGCCGCGCAGATTCTCTCAAAAATCTGATTCTCGCCTTGGCGCCGCGCGCGTTTTTTTGTTGGGTGGGGGGGAGTCCGCGGTTGGGCCACTCACCCCACGGGAACTCCATTGGTAAGGCAGCCACTCAGGGGTGGTCCACTGACGGTGTCAGCTGGTCCCTCCACTGTCTGGTTGGCCCACTGCCGTCCACACCAAGGACGCCCAAGTGTAGACCCTCCACTCAGGACTTGTGTGCGTGCGCGAGTGTGTGGTGGTGGTGGTGGTGGTGGTGGTGGTGGTGGTGGTGGTGGTGGTGGTGGTGATGGTGGTGGTGGTGGTGTGGTGTTAGTGTGTGTGTGTGTGTGTGCGTGTGTGCGTGTGTGAGAGAGAGAGAGTGAGTGTCTGTGTGTGTGCGCGGACCAGGCCCCCAGAAAAAATCCATTGGTGGGCCAGCCACCCAAGTGGTGATCCAGTGGTGGCCCGTGCCTGGCATTGCGTGGTCTTGGTTGGTCGTGCTTGGCATTGCTTGGCCGTGCGTGGCATTGATTGGGCGTGCTCGTCGGGGACTGGCGTAGATATCTCGTGATTGACATTGAGTGATCGTGGTTGGCATCGGCCGTGATTAACGTTGGTCGGTTTTGCTCGGCATTGAGTGATCATACGTTCCATTTCGTGGGATTGGTTGGTAGCGCGTAACATTGTTTGGCGACGAATAGTCGTGCTTGGCAACGCTTGGCGTTGTTTGGTCGTGCATGGCACTGCTTGGCGCTGGTGGTTCATGCTTTGTATTGATTGGCAGAGATTGGTTGTGCTTGCGTTGATCGACATTGGTTGGTCATGCTTGGCATTGCTTGACATTGTTTGGCGTTGCTTGCCGCTGAGACACCCCCAGGGCTGATGACTGCGACCCCATGGGCCTTTGAAAGAGCCCCTACTTTCCCTTCGGCCTTCGGATCGTGTTCCGGGTACTGCAGTGGGGACCCCCGAGACTAGTCTATATGTGTGTATGTGCGAGCATGAATGGCCGTGTGTATATGTTTACATACCTAGGCTTCAAACCTGCCACTGTTTGACGGTGAGCGGTTGTGTTTCGCATCGCTGGGCATTGCTTGGTCATGCCTGACGCTGCTTAGCGTTGATGGCTAGTGGCTTCTAGTGGTTGGCAAGTGCTGGTCGTGCTTGCATTGCTTGGCATTGGTTGGCCATGCTTAATATTGGTTGGCCGTGCTTGCTGGTGATACGCCCCAGAGCTGATGGCGTGACCCCATGGGCCCATGGGCGTGGCTTGAGATTCCCCTCGGCCATCTGGTAGTGTTCAGGGTGCTGCGAAGGGGACACCCGAACGCACACACACACACCACTATACATCTATACGCATCTATATGTATATGTATATATATATAACAAAAAAAAAAAACATCAAGCTGCCTGCGGCAAGCCCCGCCACCGTGCCTGTGCAGCAGCGCAGCAGGAAGGAGACCGAGCGTTGTGCGAGGGCACTGGTGGACATGCCACACCAAGGGGGGGCCACTAATGATATCTCCACACCAGAGAATTCTCCACCAGAAAGTCCACTGGCGGGCCCTCCATTCTAAGGGCGGTCCAATTCGGACCATCCGCTCCTGCGACTCCTTCCGCCCCCCTATGGCCAGGGGAGGTACGCTGGTAAACCCATCCGCTCCAAGGAATGTCTGTCTGTGGGCCAGCCACCCCAGGGAATTCCATTGGTGGGCCAGTCACCCAAGTGGTGATCCACTGGTGGCCCGTGCTTGGCATCGCTGTATGTTGGTTGGTCGTGCTTGCCATTGCTTGACATTGCTTGCCCCGAGAGGCCCTAAAGGCTTATCCGAGAGGCCTTGGGGGTGGGACACCCGATGCCAAGCACGACCAACCAAAACTAAGCAACGCCGAGCTCGACCGGCCAATGCCAGGCACGGCCAAGCAATGCCATGCGCGAGTACCCAATGCCAAGCTACGCCAAGTACGACCGCACGACGCCAAACAATACCAATCATGAGCGAGCAATGCCAAGCAATGCCAAGCAAGACCGCCCATTGCCAAGCGATGCCAAGCCGAAACACGCAACGCCGATCAACGCCAAACACAACCAGTCAAAATTGCAATCAAGGCCAGGCGATGCATAGTATTGCCAACAATGCCAAGCAATGCCAAGGACGGCCACTCATTGCCAAGCAATACCAAGCATGACCAATCAATTCCAGGGAACGCCAAGCACGACCACACATTGCCAAACTGTGCCGAGCAGGAACAGGCAATGCAAAGCAATGCAAAGCACGAACACCAAATGCCGAGCATGGCCAACCAATGTCGAGCACGACCGACAAATGCCAAGCAGGACCCTCAGTTCAATTCCAAGCAGTGCCACTGACGGCCGACCAGTGCCAGCATCGCCAGGCAATGCCAAGCACGACAACGAGTGCCAGACAATGGCATGCACGACCACCCAATGCCAAGCAGCCCCAGGCATGTTCAACCAGAAGGGCACAAGAAGATAGGAAACAACACAAACAACAGTCGTATTGGGTGGTCTGCCGTTTTTTGGGGGGTCACACCCTCTCCCAGGCCTCAGGGCCATGGCCCTGAATGTGATTGAAACAATCCGTGCCCCTCAATGCGGTTGTTCTTAATCACGTACGGCCCAAGGCGCTGAAAGTGATTGAAGCAATCAGTGCCCCCCAATGTGAATGTTTTTTTTCATATATCGCCCCTCACACACGAAATCAATCACATTTGGCCCAGGGCCCTGAATGTGATTGAAACAGTCAGTACCCCTCAATGTAATTGTTTAATCACATTAAGCCCAGGGCCCTGAATGTGATTGAAACAACCAGCACCCCTCAGCGTGATTGCGGGCCATATGTTAAAACAGTCGCATTGAGGGGCACTGATTGTTTCAATCACATTCGGCCCAGGGCCCTGAGGCCGTTGGGGGGGTACAAAAAAACAAACAACAACAAAAAAACAGGCCAGGCGGGGTGGTCTGGCGTGTTTGTGTTCTTTTGTTTTTTTGTTGCCCCCCCCCCAGGCCTCAGAGCCCTGGCCCTGAATGTCATTGAAACAATCAGTACCCCTCAGTGAGATTGAGGGCCATATATTGAAACAGTCACATTGAGGGGCACTGATTGTTTCAATCACATTCAGGGCCAGGGCCCTGAGGCCGTTGGGTTGGGGGGGCAAACAAAAAACAACAACAAAAATCGGGCGGGGTGGTCTGGCGTTGTTTGTCTTTTCTTGTTTCTGCTCCCCCCCCAGGCCTCAGAGCCCTGGTCCTGAATGTGATTGAAACAATCAGTGCCCCTCGATGTGATTGTTTTTAATCACATTCCGCCCAGGGCGCTGACAGTGATTGAAACAATCGGTGCCCCCCAATGTGATTCAACTAATCAAGCGTGCCGCGCGTTGGCCTCCAGACAACTACTTGAGAATCCCCCGTTCTCGGGTGGCTGAGTTTGCAGGCAGGGCGACGACCGCCACCCCAGAATCCCCCGTCCTCGAATTTTGGGCGCGCTCCGCCCCGTCGCTGCACGGAAGCAAGATGGTTGTCCTGGTGCAGCGAGGACGCCACGCATCAGAATGCCTGAGGGGGCGGTCTAACGCTTGGGCCCCGACCTGCCAAGCGGAGCCAATCAAAAGAACAGCGATCATGCGCCCCACCGCAGCTGTCAGCAGCAGGGCTGCGGGAGTGGCGGCATGGGGAGGTCCACGCGGGAGGAGGACTCCTGGTGGGCAGGTGGAGGGACCGAGGGGGTACACTGAAGTCGGGCGTGTCCCCCTACAGGGGGATTTTGGGCGAAAAATAAGAGATAGTCAGAAAATGATTCAAAATGGCAACGAATTCGCCGGCCCAACGGGCCGAGGGCGTGCTCAGATCTCCGGTGACTGGTTCACATATTCTAGATCGCGCGGCGCGGGGCCGCCCCTGGGGGTGCCCGGACGAAAAGTACCCGGGGAGACCCCCGGGGCACTCGGATCCGAGATGCCAGACCGGCAAAGGTTCGACACTCCTCACGAGGATCTCGACCTCCGAGGGGAGGGGGGCGCCATCGACTACCCCCCCTCCTGACCCAAGAGGTCCCCAAGAGCCCCCCAAGAGGCTGCAGGGGCCCACAAGACGCCGCCAGGGAACCCCAAGAGGCTCCCAAGAGGCCCCCAAGCGGCCTCCAAGAGGCCCAACAAAATACCCCCAAGATGCCCCAAAGATCGCTGCAAGGCCAGTTCAGCTCATACTTGGTGGTGACAAATACACTATTGTGCGCAATTTGGGCCGCCGGAATGAGCGAAGCGATTGAATAATCAAACAATAGTCCCCCGACTATTGTTTTGCCGACTTTTGATAATTAGTAATTCCTCCTGTAGAGGAACTGGCCCGACTTAGGGGTACACCGGACTGACAGCCAGAGGAAAGAGGATTCCGACCCGTTCGCCTCCTAGCAAGCGCTCGGGCAGAGCCCCCCCGCGGCTGAGCGGATCTCGCCGGG